GGCGTTGGTGGGGTTCGAACGTCTCGTCCAGATAGGCTAGTGACAGCGACTTACACCACTTGTCCATCACCATTTGATTTATCTGCCTTCTTTCCGCATCCCAACCTGGCTACTGCTCTCAGGTCTCTATTGCCTCACGATTACTCGACCAAATAGACGGCCGAAAGACAGCAACCAGAACCTCCAAGAATAAGTGCAAAGATAATGATTGTCAGATGAAATGGAAAATATGTGATGCACGATTTTAATTTGGAAAGCCTCACAGTAATCCTGCAATGACTGAGGAATAGATAGTGGTCTAATGAGCATAATTTATGAACGCAGGCTATGCAGAAAACAAACCTCTCAGAATGGTCATTTTTTGATGAAATATGTATATATGAATTAGTAGAATACTATGCTGGATCATACAGTAAAATGAGTGAAAAGCACGACAATATGATTACTACTCGTCGTACCGTGAATGAGCTACTCGATCTGCCAGACGTGACCAAAGAATAATGCCCAAAGGCCCAGAAATCCGTCTCCGTTCCTCGGCGGCAGTCACCCAAGCATTGTGTCCATCCACACAAAAACGATGCGCAAGCGTGGCCAAGTGTTTTGCTGAGTGACGTCGACGGCTGGAGCTGGGTGGAGCTGGAATAGTTGCCTTATTACTGCGTAACATGGGCGACTGAGAGGCAGCCGAGGAAGAGCGAAACACTGGCGGTTCAGACGAGGTCCCGAAGGAGGGCAAGAGTAGGTCTATAATCATTGGAAGGCTGGACTAGAAGAGGGAGGGAGAAGTCTGCATTTGAGTGATAAAACCGAATAAATCGGAATAAAGACATCTCTAGGACAATACAGAGAAAAAATAGAAACAATCTGATTGAAAACGTTGTGACGAAACCTTTCTACCTCAGAAAGTCAGGAATTGAGCTCATTTGAAAGTACGTAGAGCCAGAAAACATCACTATTAAAGCTCTATTCCTATTGTAAGTAATGTCATAATGAAATTAGTGCGTAGTATTTAACTCTTGTGCAAGTACAAGCACTCGTTACAACAGTGGATGAGGAATAACTTCAAATCATTCAAGTGACTAGGTTAGTCATACTTGTTTACGACACTAAAATAACGCAGTGAAGAATATCATATGATAGGTATCGAAATCATCGGATGCTGTAGAAAGAACGTTCAAAATTTCAAATAATGGGTCGATTCAGTGTACCTATAGACCTACACTTAACCGGATCTGCAGAGAAACAGTCCTGTCTATATATGGAACGGGAAGATCCTCGAATAATCGTTTTACATTTAAGACGAACGACATATGATTTGCGAAGCTAAGCGAATCATCACACCATGGGGCTAAAAACTTACAAAGACCTGAAAATATGAATGAAAATTACGGAGCAAAACACAAATGACGGAAGAAAACGGTGATAAATATGACATTCACTTAAATGAATGCTGATTTCCTCGTTTCGTTCCGCTCTTTTGTATCGATCGTGAAACGTAATCGGTTAGTCTGATCATATTTACCTAATTTGAACAGTGCAAATTCAAGTCTGATGCTCTTTTGATGGATCCTATGCAATATCATGTCAATCAATAACTTTGTCAAGTTTCTTTGATGGTCTATATTCTATGGTTGCTATGCTTGTTTGCTCTGAGATAAGCGCACGGTCGTCCGTAAAATATGGCGAGGCATCATGATGCTATTTCTTATATAGTTGTTTGTACCTTTTTTCTGAAAACGTTCTCGATCAAATCAATTGGGGCAAAAACATTTACCGAGAACAATTGTAACGATGTGATCTAACTCTACCGCACCTTAAGAACATGGAAACGTAACGGACGCACCTTATTAGCTGGGACGGCAACGACAGCAGATTTGCCCCGAATCACATCCGAACGATCATTTGGAGGTTTGGGCAGAGCCGCCAACCAACGCTCCTTCGCTTTAGCTTCTGCTAGGATTAACAAATCCCGATGACGAAATACTTCCGGTTTTGTCAAGGCGGCTCTGACGGACGCGTCAGAATTGTCCACGCGAGCACTGGTGGCCTGTTTAGACAACTCCAACTGATCCGGAATGAGTGAAGTCAATCCAAACGAGAGAAGCGAACGAACAGTGAGGAACAGTTGTTCCAATTGACGGAGTATTAAACCGGTCGTGTGTTTGTGAGACAATTCTGTTAGTGAAGATGAACGTACGGGTGTAACTGAGGAGGAAGTGGCGTCCGAAACGAAGCGGGTCGAGGAAATGATGACCGAACCGGTTGTGAGTGAAGTGTTGCCGTCCAGTAGAATCGATTCGCTTGCCATTAAACTGAGTAACCAATTTTCTAAATCAACTAAATTACTCCAAAATACAGATGAAAACTGAAAAAGAAGAACGCAAAATGGGCAGAGGTAATTGGTGTTCGGTGCGCGATGGTGAATGATGTTAAACAAGCACATTTCTGAGAAAACCCATGGTATCATCATACTCACCACATTTTTGTGATACCAAACTACAGTAAAAGCAAATAAACATGCAAAAAAAATATCGATCAGTATATGCCGCTCGCGCTATACAGCTTATAGTAAACCGAATCGCAGGTAAGGTATACAGCTACATGGCGAAAGGAACAATGAAGTAGGAAAATTTTCGATTAGGACAAACGTGAACTGTTTTGTTCACTTTATTCAATAGTAACCGTTCTACCATTCCACAGAGATTGATTATTCAAGCTGGAAGAAGACGACCGTGACGGGACTGATTCCAGTATAGGTTTCATTGTACGATTCGAGCACGTGAATTCCTGTTTATAAACAAAATGAGGCGGTTGAGGACTGGGGTGAGTCGAATACTGACAGCATGGTAACCAACTTCGACGAAAGAGCTGCTGTTGAGCAGAAGAGTCTTTTCCAAGATAAGATAGAAACTACGTTGGGAATGATTCGTGTGTTCCACAACTTCCAAACGGTTTCCAGAAGCAAAGTTATCACACACACACAAGCGAATTGATCAGGGCGATTGATGGTAGTTGGGGCAATTACAAGGAAGGTAACTCAGAAAAAGAATATATCTCATACACACAACTGCTGTAAAATATAGTGAAATGTGGCGATAGACAACAATGATGTAATTTAAGAAAGTCGGTGTACATCAGAGAGTCAATTAATCGATCACCAACCACATGGATGACATATTAGAAGAAGGAAAGCCGATGGAATGAACCAATGCGGAATCAGGTTGCACACAAATCTAGTCATCGATAATTCCAAACCATCTGACAATTCAATATTTAGCACCAGCTCGAGAAGCAACATGGGGATCATGAAAACAAACAGAGACAGAAAATAACAGTGTTTGTTTTGTTGATTATTTCACTGTAGACATTTCGATATTTTTTTCTGCTCCGTGTTTTGTTTTGTCTGTTATCGAGCACACGATTTCAACATATGGGCAGTACACCTTTCGCACCACTAACCTCTATTCCGAATCGTATTTTTCACTGTGCCGAACCGACGACTACCCCCAATACGTTGTACCTCAACCTGAAAAGCGGACTACACTAACCGAAGATAATTTCGAAGCATCCTTCTTCATACTGACCACCCCGTTATGGCTTGAGCAACACCTGCGAATGAAGCACGGATCATGCCCCCATTCTAATTTGTTGCTTTCCTACAACGAGCATCATCTCCACTACAATATCATTAGTGTTATGGTGCTATTCGTATCATCCACCAACTAATAGCATTATTTTACAGCAGACGACCGATGAAACTACAAATGGTATGAAACAAAATCGACTAGTGCGCTAAAGAAAAGCTTCCCTGGCAGTCATTGTAACATTTCTATTCGATTTAAAGTTTCCGACAGGAAAAAGTACAAAGTTGTGAGATAATAAAGAAATGTCCGGAAACCTCATGAAACATTAAGGAAAACAGCTGATCATTGTGTTTTGTTGGTTCGTACAAAGAAGAAAACCAAAACAATTCAGATTTTTGCAGAGGCTCATCAGATGCCAAATAAACGTAGCGAGTATGAACGATGCTTACCAGACGCGGCAGACTGTTCAAACAGGCGCGAAGCAACCATGGCTCTTCGTTGCTCAGTTTTAACAGATACGTGGTGAACGGATCGATAGCCGCATCTGCAACCGGTGGTTGTGTCCGTGCAACTAGTAGACGAGCCAAAGCACGACAAATCATGGTCAGACAATCTGAGGAATTGATGCATTTCACTTTCTTTGGAATTTGTAGCAGTGTACCATTCTGATCAGGATGAAAAAGAAAATCACAAGGTCATGCCAGTTGAAACGTTTCAGATTAAAAAATTATTAACCTCATATTTTCATGTCCCGTTTTGTTTGTTATCGTCTGGCAGTCCATCAAAATTAAGGAGTGTAAGAAAAACAAGGTCGAGATAGAGGTAGACTAGATATGGGCAATGTGTTGAATAGTGTTGTTTGAATTGATCGTTTGCTTCTCTGAATCAGTCATGTTTTTATGATTGGTCCTTAGAAGACTTTAATCTTACAAACCGGACAATCTGATTGGTTTACGCTTATATATAAACGCCTGTGATTTCCTTCTCAAATGTGATTTGTGTCCAGTGCACTAAAGAAAATATATCGAGAGCATTCCCTAAAGAACCGACTTTTGACAGGCAGAAATTTAGGAGGCACACGAACTTCAAAATCCCGCTGCGTCTAAAGTCAAAAAGATCGCAGCAAGTGATATCCCATCTAGCCGCAATGAATCAGAAAACATACGAAGAATTTTGGACCATTTAAATACACGAGAGGCACACTGGATAAACAATACCCTTCATTCATTATTTAGGGGAATTAAACACGAGCAATCATGATAATCATTCAACATGATTGCATTAACCACACACACGTACACACAAAAAGTTCTTTTCCGTCCCTCAGACCTGTTAACTGGCTTGAAAAAAACCACGGCAAACAAATGTGCCGCCCGAACTATGTACGATAAGGGATAGGTTTGCCCTTGGTGGCAGCTGCTGTGATGACCTTTAAGGATTGAGCTTCCCAATTCAATCCATGTTTCAGAAACCAAAAACGGTGGGGTCTGAGCTTGATTTTGCTTCAGCAATGAACATTTCTAGGGTAATTCAATGAATGTCTGTTCCCAATCCTGAGGCTTGGAGACCCCCTCGTCTCACGCCTGCGTCAGACCTGCACGAAACCAGTTCGATTTGCAATGATGTCTGGGATGGACGAAAAGTTGCACATAAGCGATTCAGGTTGCGAGAAACGAGCTTCAGCGAGCACTGTAATAGCAAATATAAAGGGAAAACTGATTCGGAACACTGGGCGGCACGAAACATAACCATTATATATATGTATATTTATAAATATGTATATATATCACATGTCTGACAAAAGACTGTGCCAAACAATTTGTTTTACAATAGTATTTCTGAAAAATTAAGCGCTCCATGATTTGCATGTGGGCTGAATACTGCCAGGTTAACTAGGTCAAGGCAGGTGAATTTTTTTGAGGAATCCACAACCGGAGCCTTCGGCAAGCCACATCCTCACCAGAGAGGCAGCGGGGCGGTGTGTGAAAACCGTAGTTCATTGGGAGCCGATGTGCAGTTCATCCGATCATACGTCTTTGACGGGGTCAAGTGTCCAAGGTGCGCTATACACCTCGAGCCGATGATCACTGCCACATCGGGGAGAGCGTGGGTGAGTGTGGTTCGTACGCCTCCTCAGGGTTGGTTTGGAATCAGGGTTTTTGGCCAACTCCCCAAGGCGAACTACCAGTGGTTCACCAACCCGGTTATAGCTCCGGATTTCGGCTTTTCGTCCTCTGACTTTGGTGGGAAAACACCTCCGCCAATAGAAGGCAGTGAGTAGGGCTTCCTCAGTTGAGGGTATTCTAGACGCTTGATCGTATGGGAGCATTTCGCGGGATGCAACGGTAGGGTGGTCAGCCACAACCCTAGATACCCACCCCCAGAATCCTAATGATGAGTTACTATCGTTTATTTTACATTGCAATTCACCTCACACATACACACACACACACACACACGGAGCGAACAAAATCCGAATTAAACACCTGTTTTAGACTCGGTGGATGGAAACAGCAATGTGAATTCATTAACGGAACCGGAAATGGAACACACGACTTCATAGAGACAACCAAAGCATAATACCTATTTGGCAGGTGATTGGAGTGCAGACTGTACAGTACAATCTCTATTTCGAAACGTACTGTGAACCATTGGTCTCTTTTAGCTCGGCATTTCCGTTACTGAAGCCTCAGTAACTACGTTTTTAAGTCATTCAATATCAGCCTGGGAACAGTGTAGAGATCTTTCGCTGCTGCAAGGAGCCATGAGCAATGCACGGTCATCGAGCGTATAGTGGTTCACTTCGTAGAGGCATAACAATAAGTGTCGCCCAATAATAATACCCCTGTTTGAGAGTGGTGGAAATTCCATTTAGGACTTACTTGGATATGGGATCCTGTGGTGAACAGTGAAGTAATCAAAGCCTGATCCAAGCTTTGTTGAAATCCGGCGAACGGATTGAACCCACTAGTCGGCTTGTTCCATGTGACCGAGCTACTTGTTGCGGTCGCATCTCGCGAAGCGGACCGGGAACGAGAGAACCCGGTTGTGTGAGCGGGTTGATTTCGATGCGTTGCGCGTTGTACGGATCGAGAGCGTGAAGTTTCCGATCGGGCAGAACCCTGTTGGGAGAGAGCGGGGTGCTGTTGCCTGGGATAGGCGTGGAGCCATTCGAAAGCGCGAATATCCAGAACACGTGTGTGGGATGCGTGTGGATCGAACACTCGGAAAAATTGAAGGACTGGATTATATTCCGTTTCTAACAGGGATAGTGGGGAGGGAGACGATTGTACAGATGATAGAGTTGCCCCATGGTTTTACGAGTTTATCATCCCAAAGAACATATAAAGGAGTGAAATTGATGTGTACGGCAGAGGAGGGGGATCACAATCGGAGATGGCTGAGCGACAAAGGTGTCTAAATTACCGCCACAGGGGAACTATGTTCAAATCCTACAACCCCCACCTAACTTGCTCCAATTTTGTGTTGGATGATAGCCTTTTGATTGGTGGCTTTCCTCCTTCCTGGAAAATTGTATCATCCTATATTCAGTAAAATGAAGTAAACTGAAAACAAAAAAAAGAATGAACCAAAGTTGGACTACAGACCATCTACTCGACAAAGTAACACACAGACTGGTGTACTTTGTTATCCTCAAGAGTTGGTGAATGCGGTGTTTATGTTTACGAATGGGATGTCATTCAAAATATGAACAACAAACACGACTGAAATAAAAACTTGAAAATTTATTTCTGTTCATTTTGGTCAAAACAGAAAGCAAATGGGTCAAATAGTGGGTAAGCACAAGTGCAGGGTGTCCGTTATACAAGCAAACAACAAGTACACCTCAGTTCAGCACATCTTCAATCACACGTATTAGGCATGTGATATGATCACAGGATGCAGACTACCGAGAGCGGCATTATGCCGTTTGTCAGAGTGATGTACCTCCTTGTAAACTAAGCAAAACCGCATTTTCGCTTTGGAGAGCATAAATTGGATTGCCAAGAGAAAAATACTCAAGTGAAATTTCATCGAAATTGGTTCTCCTACTTGATAGAACAAACCATTACTGATCAGAGTGGACACAAGCAGCGAAAGAACAGAGTGAGCAGACAGGCCACAATAGCACAAATGATACTTGCACAAATATATACTCCTTGAATCTGATACAATTTCTCATACGATGAAGTTCACCGTAAATGGAACGAAAGAGGAAAATAACTAAGAGGCAGGGAAACTCTGCTCAGCTGATTGAACTTCACGGTTCGTAGTAGGAGTGCAAACCCATCGACAGAACAACGAACTGAATCGGAGACCTCAAGGGTTGATCGTGGACAGCTGAGCCCCGTGCAACGTCATATAAATGGCAAAGCGTGAATTCTTCCTTGCAACGTTTCGATCCAAACTAGGACAATATAGAAAATAAGGGTGTGTAAATGCATGTGGGCTGCTTGTGTCTAATGCTGTGGTTTGTAGTGCATCTGTCTGTTAATCTATGTGGCTTTCATCACTTCAAGATGTTCAACGATTTCGACGTGCTGCGGTGCTCGTACGGATCGGAAGCTGAACCACGTTCTCTTTGACTGTGTTGTCAGGACACCTCATGTTATCCTCTCAACCTGCGTCTGTGCGGTGATTTCGAAGGAGACTGCCCCAGCAAATCAAAGGTCAAGCGGACGTTTATGCAGACGAGTATTTTGTTCTCTACTTATTTCTCTTACGAACTGTTGCTCCTATCGTGCATACCAAACCTGATTGCTCATGTGGCCATTTAAAGAACTTACCTTTGGACAAAATTGTTAGTTCAAAGCTATGGGTATCACGAAAAGCAATGGGGTGACGAAGGCAATCGACAGATCTTGATACTCATCTATGTAGGTCATCGTCTGAATCGTCATCTTCGGTTTTATTAATCATATAAGACGTTATTTACTGAAATATTTGCGACTCTTGGCGGAGCCTTCAAATTCGGCCGTGCTGTTGCTTTCCGTTCTATCATTGTCACATAGTCACTGACATTCCCGTTGTTTCTATACATCAATTAATTTTGTGGGTCGTTTCCATAGGCATACTGTGCAATTACGATGACGCCGGTCGCGATGTTTCATAACGCCTTCATGATAAGCATCAAGAACTCTAATTTACCTCCTGAAGTAATTGAATTCGGAAAATCAGTGAGAAATAAATACAAAAGGATTCGCAGAAAATCTCGCGGACATTGGAGGAAGCATCGAGGTGGTTGGAGAGTAGCACTGCGTCAAAGAACTTTGTCACAACTCTGTATACCCATCATTATCAGCCATAACGTACGTTCGTTGCTTGGAAAATTACCAGATCTATCTGATCTTGTGCTCGGTATAGAATATGCTAAGTTGGGCGCAATTCTATTACAAGAGACTTGATTACATAGCGAAATTGATGAGGAGATTACTAAAATCGATGGCTTCACCGGATACCGAGTCGATCGTCCGACAACATATCAGAAACGTGGAGGAGGCCTGGTGACTTATATCAACAACAATTGGTGCAAGAGTGTAAAGCAAACATTCGCTCATTCCACTGGTCACATATGTGCTTCCGTACATGAATACAAGCCAAAGTAC